CACTTAGGGACATGGTTTAGTGGGCATGGGGGTGTTGGGTTAATGGCTGGACTGATGATCTTAGAGATCCTTTACAATCTTAATGATGCCTAGTTTTTATTTTCATGAAAATTAATCCAACCACCAAGCCAGGAAACATGAAATTGCTACTCTCCCCTTAACTGGTTTAGTGGTGGAGTTGGCAGTGTTAGGTTAATGGTTGGACTGGATGATCTTAAAGATCTTTTCCAACCTAAACGATTCTGTGATTCTATGATTCTATGACTGCTCCCAGGGGACCCTCTCCAGGCCTTGCACAGGCAGGTTAACCCGCTCATGTGTGTGCAAGAGCTTGTTCACACAGCGTCCCTGACTCAGCTAGACCTCGTGCTTCCAAGGCCAAGCTTGGTTTCTCTGGAAACCCCAGTGCTACGCACGCGTGAGGATGGCCAGGGCAGACTGTCTCCCGGGCACGGCCTGCTCCTGTGAAAGTCGCTCCTGAAGGCTGACTCATACAACGAACCTGTAACTAACCAGAGGTTTTCCAGAGATCTCGATCTATTATTGTTGATTTAACATTCTTCTTGCTTTACAGTCAGTTGGCAATTATTACGTCCTCAGCTGTCTCTGAAAGTTGCACCTAAGCGCTGCAGAGATTGTCTCATCTGCCTCCTTCCCACTGGCAGGCTCGGCCATGCCCAGCAGTTTGTCCATGCTGGCAGACAGATCTGCTGAGAGCAACAGCGGAATCGGGTGCCTGTGACCCAGCGTAGTTGCTGGACGCCCAGCTTGCTCTCAGATATCTCTGTTATTGCTGATCTCTGAGAAAATAATACGCCAACACACCGAGCACATGGAAAGGGAAGGATCCACTTTGCACGGTCTATCAGGAGCTGCTTGCCGGGCGAGGGAAGGGGCCGTACCAGAGCCATGGCAGCTGCCTGAATTTTGTGGTGGAGTCTGAACTGGTAGACTGGGCTTTGTCTAATGTGCACTTGGCAAATCGGTACTTTGCTCGACATGGATATGCTTAATGGGATAGGTGGCATGGTACACGCATGATTCATCACAGAATCACAGAATCACAAAATGGTTTGGGTGGGAAGGGACCTTTAGAGGCCACCCAGCCCAACCCCCTGCAGTGACAGGGACATCTCCAACCAGCCCAGGGTGCTCAGAGCCCCGTCCAACCTGGCCGGGAATGTTTCCAGGGATGGGGCATCGACCGCCTCTCTGGGCAACCTGTGCCAGTGCCTCACCACCCTCAGTGTGGAAAATTTCTTCCTTATATCCAGTCTAAATCTATTCTTCTTTAGTTTAAATCCATTACTCCTTGTCCTGTCACAACAGGCCTTGCTGAAACGATTGTTCCCACCCTTCCTATGGGCCCCTCTCAGCACTGCAAGGCCGCACGAAGGTCTCCCCTCAGCCTCCTCTTCTCCAGGCTGAACACCCCCAGCTCCCTCAGCCTGGCCTCGTAGGAGAGGGGCTTCCTGGGACAATCACTATCATTGCTGAGTTTTTGAGCAATCTTGCAGGCCGTTCTTTGTATCTGATCATCTTTTGCAAAGTGAATAAGGAAATGATGAGAATGGAGATGCTGCTAGATAAATACCAAGCTTGAGGGGAGTTACAAGCCTCCTCCCTTGCGGTTTAATACTTTCACTAGCAGCCCTGCCATGGGAGCTGAGGGTGTGCAGAGAAGGTCTGTCTGTTGTGCGAGGCCAGGAGACATGGCCAGGGCAGAGAAGGTTACGCTGAGAGCCCCTGCTGACACTGTCGGGTACCTTGTGCTAGGCAGGGATGGCACTTGGCGTCCCAGTACTCACCATGCAGGACTGAGGAAGTGGTCAGAAAATCTTGGTTGTAACCTAGGTTTGATCCAGACGGGTACAAAGGTCTTTGATGCCGGCAGATGGTTTACATGGTGTGGGCAGGACTGAAGGAACAAGACATGTCTGTGCTAAGAGATGCTGTTTAGAAAGATCTGCTCCTTGCTGCCAGTTTGCAGGACTGGAGCAGCCACCTTCTGCACGCTAACGGGGACCCTGCGTGCTGGCATACGGGCTCAGGGTAGTTTGGGTTTAGTATAATGTCCCTGGAAGGCCTCTCTTTGCAAGGAGCTTTTACAATGACGTGCTTGAATAAAATTGCATTTTGCCAAGGGGCCCACAGTGCGCCCGTCAGAGCACTGAAATGGCCCCTGCCGTGTCCCTCCTACTTGTGAGGGGGTGGCAATGGGTATGGTGGGGGTCTTTTACTGAAGTATTTCTAGCTCACTGGTTAACCCCAGGGTTCAAGTTGCGCCTTTCAGTTCCTTCACCTCGGGGTTAACTGGGTGCTTCCCCAGACAGCTGCATTCCTCAGTTGAGGCCTCTTGCAATTTTCTCCAGTCTTGATTCTCTGCTTCCTTCTCCTTTGCAGGCTCTTCCAGGTGGCGTAGAGGCACATTAGAAGATGGGGTTAGCGTAACTCCTAGGCAATGCCCTTTCCAGCCTCCTTGCTTAGAAATGTGTTTGTTCTAAAGCCTCGGTCAGGCAAAGCCCTCGTGGATGCAGGTCCCTGCAAGCAGAGGGGATGGTGCCATATCTAAAAATAAATCACATTCCTGAGTTGGGTCTAGCTTTTCTTTGTTTCCTTTTCTGAACCCTGTGTTGTGCCCCTTGGTTCAAGCCCTCTCCCAGCCCTCCCCCAAAATGCGGGCAAAAGAAGAGGAGTTGGGAAGCTCCAGTAATGTCCATGCTCACCTCTTGCGAGGTGCATTTCAATAACCCTGCTGTGCTCAGGCTTCACGTGGTAAGAAGCTGTTTGAGCTCCCCAGGAGAGGAAGCCCTGGTACGAGCACATGAAGTGGATTGAGAGGAAGAGGAAGAAGCAGCAATAAAAATTCTCCTAATTCACCCATCCAGATTCTGACAATAAGCTGGTGAAGCTGAGACTATGTGCTTTACTTACGCTTATCAGAGGAGGTCTTGGTTTCTTCTAAATGTGTGTTTGCCTACTACAGGCTCTTGCCGTGTGTGATTTCCCAAGCTGTTCTCCAGGGAGAGCTGCTTTTCATTGTGGTGCAGTCAAAGGCTGGACGGGTACGATGAAAGGCACTGCCGGAATAGCTGTGGGCACCGTGATGAATTCTTTATCTATGAGCATCTTTTCTAAGAGGCGCTCGCTGAAGCTGAGCTGACTTGTTGCCCACGGTCAGTTCCTAAAATAACTACACCACAGGCTGAGCTGTAGCTGAGCTGCTTCTTTGCGTCGTGTTGTGCTTGCATAAAAGGTTTTGGCTTAAGGAATTGAGACCCTTGTGGGCAAAAGCACTGTCGTCCCCCCCTCCTTTACCCCACTCCCCTGTGCAGTAACTAACCAGTCCATCCGCTGTGTGTTACAGCAACTGAAACACCCCAACCTGGTGAACCTGCTGGAAGTGTTCAGGAGGAAGCGGAAGCTGCATCTGGTCTTCGAATACTGCGACCACACAGTTCTCCATGAGCTGGACAAGCACCCCCGGGGGTGAGTGGCCTGTCTCTCACTGGGAGCTTTGAGCAAAGGAGTCAGGGGGTATCTATGTCGTTGCTGCTCTGCAGAGTTTTCAGAGGAATTTCATTAATTACAGGAGAGGTTTCTCAGCCCGGTGTCCAGGACTTACTCTGTTACTGTGGTTTAGCAATGACGTCCAAAAGAATTGCGTGTGAGCCTGCGTGTGCTCCTGCACCGTACTGCTCACCAAGGAGACTGGAGCACTGAGCCCGAGCATTTGGGTGATCTTTGGCTGGCTCGGCGGCAGCAATCCCGAGTGGCGTGGGAGCATCTTGTGTCTCACTGCAAAGAGGTTAAGGCTGGCGGGGGCACGCGGGCAGGTGGGCTGGGGGCATGCAGCCCTCCTTCCTGCTGCTGCTGACCTGTGTGACAGACCAGCGACTTCTAGCCATGCTGCTGTGCTAAGGAGCATGTGTTGCTTGGCAGAAGTTACCAGGAGCTGTGCTTGCCCCTCTCTGCACAGCTTCAGTGAACTCCCAGGTCAGATACCCTCTTCTTTAAACAGGCGCTTGCACAAGGTGTGAGCTACATGAGCAGAAGGAACCTTCTCCAGGACAGGGTTTGTTCTTTTGGCACATTATAAATGACACTCCCATTAAATACATCGTCCCTAATTATTCACAGTGACTTGGTGCTGTGGAAATGCTAAGCAGAAGTTCATAAATCATTTTACAAGCCTGGAGCTAAATGAATTGCCTGCAGGAGACTAATTGGGGGTTGAGTAAACAAGAGCTTTTTATTCTTTCTCCCTGATGTGGAGCTCTAGAAGGAGAATGGAACATGCTGATGCAAATAGCTTTGTGAGCTGGTGAGCAGCTTTCGCCCCTGTTTGAACCTGTTCACCTGGAATCTGAAGAGAGGATGGATAACCTTCTTTGAAGAAAATACTTCACATTTGCTTTCTATTCATCAGAACAACTCCAGTGTGAACGGACATGTAACGCCTGGTTGAATACTTTGCTTTTGATCTTTGCTATGGCAGATGGTCAAGTCTTTTGTGGTCAGGATTAAGATGGGTGGGCACACGCCTCTTTGCACCTTGTTTCCAGGTCATTTGACCAACTTCATCCCCTTGTCAGGCTGTCAGTGCAGCACTCTCATCATTCTAGGATGTTTCTGCAAGGAAACTCTCACATTGCAACAGCAGTGCCAGCACAAGACCTTCAGCACTGACAGCAGAATCATCGAATCGTTTAGGTCGGAAAAGATCTTTAAGATCATCAAGTACAACTGTTAACCTAGCACTGCCAAGTCCACCACTAAACCATGTCCCTAAGCGCCACGTCTACACGTCTTTTAAACAGCTCCAGGGATGGGGACTCTACCACCTCTCTGGGCAGCCTGGTCCAGTGCTTGACCACTCTTTCTGTGAAGAAATGTCTCCTAATATCCAACCTAAACCTCCCGGACACAGCTTGAGGCCATTTCCTCTCATCCTATCACTTGTTACCTGGGAGAAGGGGACCGACCCCCCCTCCCTGCCCCCTCCTGCCAGGAGCTGCAGAGAGCGATGAGGTCTCCCCTCAGCCTCCTCTTCTCCAGGCTGAACACCCCCAGCTCCCTCAGCCGCTCCCCACCAGCCC